TGCAGCTGTCTCCAGCTGTAGCCCCTCCACAATATGTACAGGGAGCAAGACAAAACAGGTCCAAGAAATATAAAAGCCTCCTTTATCCCTTCTGGATCTGATCTGAAAGATTACAACAGGGACACTCATCATTTCTGTGCTCACCCTTCTGTAAGGATAGACAAATAGAAGATAACAGAATGGAAGAAAAACTTAGTTATTGAAATAAAGTGAAACAGAGGAATCAGAGAAGTGCATCCTATAAAAAAGAACTGCTGAATATCTAATTCAAGAGATTAATGCATTTATGAAAAGGGAACAATATAAGATAGGGAAAGATTACATTCAGAAGAAAAATGTAATCACTGAATTAAAAAATCTGTTGGAGACAGTGAACACAGGATGGATAATTCAAATAATACTTAGTGAATTAGAAGACAACCTGAGATATTTTTTCTGGCAGTTGGTTTGATACTTATCATATTAGATTAGAGGTGAACTGAATGCTTTAGATATCACTGAGGAAAATGCATGTTACCAAAACATACAACACAAAAGACTGGAATACTGCAACATATATGACACGAAGACATAATAATACCCTTTTTGTATAAAAGGCTCTTATAAATCAATAAGAAAAAGGCAAAAGACAGGACATAGTCACTTACAAATATAAATAAATGGCAATATATAAAGGAAAATGTTCAGCATAATGACTAATACAAAATATGTATGATCTTTGCATCATATCTTTGAATTTTACAACACCAGATGTTGATAAGTGTGGGTGAAATGAAAAACTTCATACACATTGATATGAATGTAAATTAATTTAAAAATTATAGGATACACTGACAAACACTTTTAAAATGCATATATTTTCAAAGCACAAATTCCAGGCTTAGGAATTTATTAGAAAATAAAGCTATGCACAAAGGATTCACTGCAAGTATGTTTATTGCAAAATTTTTATAGATAAGCCCTGCACACCTTATAATAAGATTATGATTATATAATTCAGGCAGATTCACAGAATGGACCACACAAATCTATTAAAAATGATGTTACTCAAGATTATTGAATGACAGGGGAAAAGGTTCATAACACATTGTTAGATGAACAATACAAGCTACCAACCAATAGGTACAGTGAGATTTCATTTTTGTTTTGTACACACATACACACACAAAGACTCTAAATAGTGTCAATAGTGATTATCTCTGGGCAATGGGATTATGGATAATACTTTCTGTTTGCTTATTTATATTTTTCAAATAACAATTAAAAATAATAACTAAGACTTATTGGGTGCTTGCTATTTGCCAGACACTGGGCACCTCACTTAGATGAACTAATTTGTTATCACAACAATCCTGTGACATAATTACCACTATTATCTCCAAATGAAGAAATGAGGCACAGAGAGGCTAAGTAACTTGCCCAAGTGTACACAGCTAGGAAATGGTGGAGCAGAAATTCTTTTTTTTTTTTTTTTTTTTAAAA